CTCTCTCTCTCTCTCTCTCTCTCTCTCTCTCTCTCTCTCTCTCTCTCTCTTTCTCTCTCTCTCTCTCTCTTTTCCCCTCTTGTCCGAAAAGGAATATATCGAACTGTATCTTAGACGCGCGCTACTTAAAACTTGATGTCTTCTGGAAATCCTGAATAAAACGAAGACGTAAGGAGAGACACGGCATCTTGAATAAGGAATGGAAACTCCTCGACCGTACACGTGTGTGTATGCGCGCGCGCGCGTGCGTGCGTTAATCCTATACATATATAAAAGCTCCCCTAAAGAAGATAAATTCCGGACCGGCGCGTAACACTTTCTCGTACCGGAAGGCGCGCGATCTATCTCGATTATGGTAATCCAGTATCGCATTATCGCGGGGATATACACGAATTCGCGAGTGCGAACGCGCATCGCAGTACATCGTGGCTGCATCGTAGATCGCGCGGTCGGGTAACGCCGACCTATTAAAAGGAAAACTGACGTTCGCCCGTTAACAATGATGTACAACCAGGCCGTAACATTTACGATAGGCGCAATGATGAATTATCATTACGTAAATTTCACCTATCATGATACACAAGCGCGCTCGTGCGATGCGCGCACGCATCCGTTTCGTAACTTTATCCCGGTTACGTCGGAAGCAGCGGGCTTACGAATCAATCATGCACTTCCCCTCCGCTCCTCCGCGGCTGTTTATCGTCGGCGCGATCTTCGCGCGAAAATGAGCCGGTTATTTTGCAGAAGTTAGTGGTTACCGCCGACGATAAATCTCCATCCTCTGTCCACCCGTCCTCCGTAACAGCGACGCTTCAACAACGGTTGGGGGTGTGTTTAACGGTGCCACGTGTGACAGCAAATATTCCCGTGTCGGATCAGTTTATACATTCGTGTAATTGTGCATATTGACGACGCAACATCCCGGGATTAACGGGAGAGGGGCTTTGTTTCATAAGTTTATTAAATAGGCAGAAGATAGAGTTTTAACATGAGCCATCTTTCTCTCCCTCTGCTCCTCTCTCTCTCTCTTTCTATATATATATATATATATATATATATATATATATATATTTCTCTCAGCAGTTTCGTCGTATTATATAACACTGTTACGTCGTATTATATAATATTTTCTCGATTGCGCTCTATTTGAAAGTACAACGTCCCGGCGAAGTAAAATATTTGTTCGGCGAGAATCTCGAGCGTGCATTTCCGGCGTCGTGAAGTTGATTTTATTCTCAGGATGTTGCATTAATACACAGATCGGTATGATGGATGAGACGATGTACAACAATCTTTCATGTTTCTCTTAACGTCAGAAATGAGCGCAATTTATTTTGCAAATAAGTATATCGCTAAGTCCGAGCTGAATAGCACGCTTGCCGGCGAAGCGAGTGAGCAACCCGCCATATTGATCAATATGTTGACGCAACATCCTGTATATATGATATCTCAGCGTATCCGTGTTTGTCATGGGAAAATCCCCCTCTCCTCCTTCCGACGAAGTTGATTCTCGCTAACGTACGATACAGGCTTAAAAGATAAGAGCAAAATCGGGAAGATGAAGTCATCGGGTGCCAAAGCGATCACGACAGCGCGTTGCGCGCGTAAGATGAAACTCTCACTTGAAAAACAACTCGGGGAGAGTTTAATCCCTATTAAGGACATAATCGCGAGCGCGCGACACGGAGAATCCTCTTGGATATAATTAACTCCTAATGAAATTAAACGAAGCTCATACACTGGCGAACGTTAAGGCTCACACGTGATCCCCCATTTCTGAACTATCACATTCGGTGAGAAAGCGTTCGCATGCGAGAGGAAGGGAGAACAGAGAGAGAGAGAGAGAGAGAGAGAGAGAGAGAGAGAGAGAGAGAGAGAGACACAGGGGGGTACCTGCGCTCGGATTAACTTAATCAACCGAGTATTTGTCGAGCGGAGGAAACGGCCGGAGTTGAACGGGCGGCAGCGACGGCGGGATGAAGAGAATCCTTGGCGGCGCAGCTTGACGGTACTCTCTCCGAGCAAATTGGCCGCGGTGCAATATCACGGCCCGCTCGGCGTCGAATAGACTCGGGAACGCATTTTAATGGATTTCCCGCTAATGTGGCTCGGTGTACATACGTTACGCTAACACGTTAATGTCGATTGGACGCTTTTGCTAAACAAATATAGACGCGAATCGCGCGGCCGTCGCTTTTAAACGGCGACCTCGACAATGAGCGGGCGAGTGAGCGCGCTACGCGCGTCGAATGAAGCCGCGGCTCTCGCTGATTCGATTCACCGATTAATCCGAGATAAATTCGCCATTAATTTCGCCGCCCTTTTATCGGCGTTTCCGTCGCGATAACCGGCTCTCTCCGTTTTTCTGAGGACGGGCGACAACGACGGCTGCGAAATTAATCGAACGTTTCGCGGATCTCCTCGCGACGATAAGCGACCGGGTTGTCGCCTATCGTTGAACTTCGTGAAATGATGAACGTTATCCTACCTCGCGCTCATTATCCGTCGTGGATTATGCAGAATGTATGCGGAACTTATCGCTTGTTTATTGCACCTCCTGCGCCGTTGATGCGATTAATGGCTTAATACACTAATTTAGAAAAAAAAAACAAAAGAGAAGAGAGCCAGCGCAATTATACGTTAGCGGGGCAACCCAGTTCCATCAATAAACGTCCACTTCCGGAACGAAGTGCCGTTATCTGAAACTACTTAACCTTTTTGCCGCGGCGGCCGGTAATTGCCCATCTTAAATTTCCGCGGCGGGGCGAAAAAATGATTAACGGTCCTGGGCTTCTTTATCGCCCAAGTTCCGCACTTCGGCGCGCGAAGTACATTAAGAGCAAACCGCGGGAATACATAATGCGCGGAGGAGAGTCGGGCGGCCGCCGGAAGCCTTTTTTCCGTATCATTTCTCATATGTAAATATCCCATAAAAAACACTCGCGCACTGAGAGAAAAAGTTTTGCTTATTAAATGGAACATCAACAACAAAGGATTTGCTGATATAGGATAACGAATAACCCCGTTGTAGTGGCAACAGATGATCTGTTACGTTCAATTTGCTGCTCCAAGCAGCGACACTTCTGTAATGGAGAAGTTGCGTTACTTCTATGACGCAACTGAGCTAATCAACGAGAACAAGTGCTTGTATCTCAAGCGAGTGCACGTTCGTTAAAATGACAAATGGTCTGAGAAATGGTAATGTTCGATCTGTTTGCCGGACGATCATCGAGCAACAAACGTATTTCCTTTATTCTGATAACCGAGAGGGATTTTTCTCAATGCTAGACACCGTCGTTCGCGATATTTGCGATCTCTCCGACGGGAGATAATGTACGCCCGACTAATGTTTGCTTTCCGTCCACGTTTGCATCCATTCTGCTTAACGTCGGATTTTACAACCGTGTAGATTAATATGCAATGTTGCAATGCAAAGTTCCCAGCGACAAATATTTAATCATTCGCGAAATGTGTGTTACAGCCGCGCACGAATGATTTCTATTTGGAAATATTCCGTAACTTCGGACAAATGCGCGGCCGGGTCAGTCCCGCTGTGTCATAATGAATTTTCTCGCGCGCCACACAGGAGCGCTCGCACTGCCGCAGTCGAGATTTTAATACATAATTGATTATGTGCATTACTCCGAGAGCTTCTTGAGAGCGGCGACACCTGCGCGAATGGATATAGAATATTCCCCGGGGCGCATCAGCCGGATCTCAAAAATGTGACCAACACGCCGTATGAATTTTGCATTCGTGCATACTGCATACTGCAAAGGAAGGCACTCCGGCTTATCTTTATTACATTTGTTATGTAAAGCGTAGTATCGCGTTCCTCTGAGGGAAGGGAGAGAAGGGAAAGAATAGAGTGTATTTGAAGGAACTTGCAGCATTCATAGTTCGCTGACACCTCTTTACAGAAGAGGCCGCCGTCCGCATAAACATAGCATGCAAATAACAATTGCGAAACAACATTGTCACCGCTGCTCACGCGCGCGACATTATCCTCTCAAGTCGGAGTTAGGGCACCGCCTGCTATTTGTAGGGAGGAAGTGAATGAGAGAGAAGCTGCAGTGTGCCTCGATCATTTCAGTTTTAGAGCTTCTCTTTCACTCGCACTCACGTCGTCCCTAAAGCTGGCGGACGGAAAGCGGACCAATCAGGAATCATGCTTTGTCCCAACTTTGATTGGGGAAACTCTAATCTTGACGATCGTACGACAGACGTCTGCGAATGTATTTCTTGCGACATATCGTACAGCTTGGTGATTAAAGTTTGCGACAATTTCTCTCGATGAGTTTTGCCCAGCGCAGCTTGCATCCAATACATATTAATGTATCTTTTGAAAATTGTTGAAAAACAGATTCCCCTATCGAACACGGGACGCGTTGCGAAACTGATCGAGGAGAGATGTAGCGTCTGATTAATCATCTGACTTCCGTGTATATTTCAACATCGCAAACGCAGCTTATTCGCAGTGTCTCGTGAAAAATTGCGAATTAACGTTTAACGAGTAGTTAAACATTAAGGGCACTCGAGATGGACGTTTCGAGTACTCTTTATTACGGAATGTGCACATTGTTTAAAAAATACATGGCTCGAAAGTGGAGAGGCATTAGCCGCGCCTCTAATGTTCGACGGAATTAATTCGCAAGGGAGAAGTGGATTTACGCGGCCATTATCCTCTGCTTTGTAGACGGTCGCGATATAATTTATTTGGAGAGTACATTGGAGTGCCGCGATATTTAACGGAACGGATTTTCTTTGACGTGTTGCAGTAACGAAATTCATTCGTATCGGGATAGCCGACAAGAACGATAATCCCCCGTACTTCGACAAGGGCCTCTACGAGGCTGAGGTAGACGAGAATGAGGACATCCAGCACACGGTGCTCACCGTTACCGCCAAAGATCACGATGAGTGTGAGTATCCATCCTTTTTCTGCTTTCTTCACAATTACATCGTTAATAGTCGAGTCCACTCGAGACGATCAGCTCGTTGATCACCGAATTATTTTCCTCTGCACTCAAAAAAAAAGACACGATAGTGTGGCAACGAAAACTGCACAATTCTCGTGACCATTCAGCCTGTGTCACCGAATTGTATTAAAGTAATTCGAGAAAATAGTTTTTATAAAAAATATGAAAAAAGTAATTAATAATAATTATTATTTATTTAAAATTCTACGCATAAAACTCGTGAAGTTGTCACTTATACAATTGCCAGCATTGTGCCTTTTTCTCTGTGTATGTCTCGCAGTTTAATATTGTAATTCCAAAACTAACAACTCACGATATATTTATTTATTTGTAACTGCATTGTAACAGAGCGGATTGTATCTGGCGTGTGTAGCCGGTATATTCGACCACATTTGAGCGGTTAACTATAAATACACGCGAGGCAATTAATACGGGAGGTAGAGTGTAATCTCGTTTGTCACGAGACGAGCGCGATACGATGAAGTAGAAACTGTCGCGACATAACTACGGCCGATCGCGCCCGACCATTGTGTGTATCGTGATACGAGGGAGGGGAATTCATCGCCAGAAACTCTCGAATCGCCCCTCGTTGTTCGGCAACTTAACGAAAAGTGGTAATTATATGTGCATTACGGAGATATTCCGCTCGTCGTCGCGGATGTGTTGCGCTCGAATTACCGGCGACGGGACGCGCATCGCGCGCGCCCGAGAGTTTGCGATACATTAAAACATTAACGCGATCGATTGAAACCCTCTTCACGTTTAATTTGCACTTCGATGTTTGATCCTTCCGGCTAATTAAATTAAATGCAACCAATTATACAATTTTCCGCGTTTCGATGTTTGATACATTTAATTCGTCGCTCGATAAATATTGATGACGCGGGCAAAATTGATATACGCATTTCCAGCGCACGCATGCCGCGCGCGGCGGTTGCGCCAATCCAGCTCGGATCGTACATTCTTTGTAACGCTGAGTACAAAGCATTTTGCACAATGTAAACACATTAATGTGGCGGTGCGTGAATAATGCAGGCTACACGCAATTAAAGTCTGCCGGCATAAACAAATGTGCCATTCTCTCTCTCTTTCTCTCTCCACGTGCGTAGATTGCCTCCATGTTTGTTACTTGATTTAAAAATTACAAATTCTTCATTTGATTAAAATCGCAAATAATTGAAATAAATCTGCCATTTAAAGTAATAGTGTCGGGTAGCTTTGTTGTGCGACTGATGACATAATTTGGGGCGGAATTTTATTATCGTTAATTTCACGCGTTATGCAATATAGAGAAAACGCCCGGCGATTTATGGGTACACACATCTGCAGGTGCGTGCATCGTGTACAAATTGCAATTCCGGCTGTTCGGGTGTTCCCTCACAAAGAGAATTCTGCCCTGAATTCTGTCGCAACTCGCGGATCGTTTAAAGCCTTTACAAATTGGCGCAATAGCGAACGGGGACGGTGGGAGAGAGGCGAAACGAACCTCCTCTTAAACAAAACAAGACAAACACAAGTCAAGTCTCGAATTTAAGCGTCCTGCGTGCTATCATCCTAATCCGAGACCGGTTTTACCAGGCTATCGTTTTCCCCGAAATAACCTCCACCGGAGCCCATCTAGATCACGTGTAAATCGCGAATTATCGCGAGGTGGATCGGGTAAAGTTCAAACGTTCACCCGATCGGATGGTTGACTCTCCTCTGCAGAATTCTCCTCTACCCTTTCCCCGGCGCACAGCCGAACTTTCTTATTCGATAAAACATTCGTCGCAGCGGGAACTTTTATCTTGAAATTCACTCGATTACAACGCGCGGCGGAAAGAGAAAGATAGAAAGAGTGCAGGAGAGAAGAAGAGGAGAGCGGTATGCTCTCGTGTCTGGCTTTTATTAAAAGCATCCCCTTTTTTGCCGCAGCCTCGCGTATTCGATACGAGATCACGAGCGGGAACATAGGCGGTGCGTTCGCCGTGAAAAACATGACCGGCGCCATTTACGTCGCGGGTGCGTTGGACTATGAGACGAGGAAGAGGGTTGGTATCGCCATAAATGTCATTCGAGCGTGTGCCGCTCGAACGCCTTTTACTGCACTTTGTAGCCGTTTCTATCGTGCATGCACGTGCGCAGCGTTAAGTTCTCTTTATTTATTCCAAAGTTATTCGCTGCGTTTCTCGGTCGTGTACAAAGGTTTCCAAGTTTTATTCATTCTCTGGACTACCTTTATTTACCTTCAGTTACCTTTGCTTGTACTTTTCTCGGTTAAGCTTAGGAGTTAAGCTAATAGTTATTCGCAGTTCTCTTTCATTCATGTAAGCGACATTGCAGGAAAAGATCTACTCTAATTATGCGATATAAAAAAAAATGACCTGAGAAACATTGATTGACACAGCAGAAATACATGATAAAAATATAACATTCGTCTTTCTTTGTGTTTGTTTCGAGTATATATAGAGAAATTATGTTCAAGGTATGAAATAAGTACATATGTACGCACACACATACATGCACATAGCAGAACTCCTGGCTGGTTTTACGCTAGATTAAAATACATGCTTGTGTATGTCTTGCAGTACGAGCTTCGGCTTACTGCCTCGGACAACTTGAAGGAGAATTACACGACTGTTGTAATTCACGTGAAGGACGTAAACGACAACCCGCCCGTCTTCGAGCGGCCAAATTACAGAACACAAATTACGGAGGAGGACGACAGAACTCTGCCGAAACGCGTCCTCGGGGTAATTGCTCTCCTTATGCAATCGTTACATCGAGTTTCCTTCCGAATTACATGACCCGTCTTCGGTTCGAAATGCTCAAGCATGCCGCGACTGTCAGCTTATAGTCAATTCGCAATTCGGTCCGCAGGTCACCGCCACCGACGGAGATAAGGACAGACCGCAAAACATCGTTTACTTCCTGACCGGGCAAGGTATCGATGCCGATAATCCTTCGAACAGCAAGTTCGATATCAACCGCACGACCGGCGAAATCTTCGTCCTAAAGGTCTGTATTCCCGAATTGACCGACGGTGTAATTAAAAATTGACAGTTCCACAAAGAGCAATTTCGCGAGAAGAATCGCGCTCATGTCCTAACAAAACGAGAAACAGAGATATCTGTTGCAACATCACCGAAATTGTATTTTACAGAGAGAGAGAGAGAAAGAATATTTTAGTCTTTCTCTTTTCATATAAATTCTTTTTAATCTTACTATGTTTTTTGTAGTGCAAAAATGGACTATCAGTATAAAATCTGTCTTGCTACGGAACACAGCAAATCTCGTTGGAAATTTTACTATGTTTCATCAGGAACACAGCAAATGTTTCCATGGCATTCCTCAATTTCTAAAATATAAATAGCACATATGAAAAATGGAAGGATAGCGAATTACTGCCGAGAGTCGATCCACTACTCGATTACAAAAATCTACAATAATTTTCATTATAAAATTCTCTCCTTATTGTCCGTGTAAATTTGCACGACATGAAGAATTGATTTGTCTGCATTAAAATATATATATTAGAGTAAAATGAATTGCGCAAAGTGCAGAGTTTCGCGGACACGTCGCTCGGGAAAGATCGATCTTCGATCGATGGGTAGAGCCGGATCGAGCCTGTCGCAATAATCTAACACGTGCACGTCCCCGACACGGGAAATTAATTCTTCTATACCTGGAGAACGCGACATTTGTGCACGTGGCTGTGGGACGCGCACGATATTGCGAGTACATGGTGGAATAATTCAAATATCGGTAGCGCGTGAGACGATATTGAGTTCCCGGTGAAGACCGTGTCAATATACGATATGTCCTTGTTGAATTGTGTGTTTGACTGGCTGCTCTCAAAGGATCCTCTACGTGACTCCTCCTTTTTCTGCGTAGCCGCTGGACAGAGACCAACCGAATGGCCGGCCGCAATGGCGGTTCACCGTGTTTGCACAGGACGAAGGCGGAGAGGGTCTCGTGGGTTATGCCGACGTGCAAGTTAACCTCAAGGACATCAACGACAACGCCCCGATATTCCCGCAGGGGGTCTACTTCGGCAACGTCACCGAGAATGGCACCGCAGGTTTGTGGGGAACGGCCAGTGGGACAAACCGCGCGGTTCTCGTAATGTTACATTTGCACCGATTAAATTCTCTTGTGCTGAATTAAAAGTCCGCACGCAAGAGAGGCAACAGAAGAGACCGTCGCTCTTTTATCCCGCCATCAAATGACATCTATCGATTTGTTGTGTCTTTGTCTCTCAGAGAAAGGACCAGTTTGACAATTCATTCCCCCCTCTCTTTTACTGACAAATAACAGTGAATTTATAACAACAGTGGATTTTCACCACTTAGCTTTATGTAGCTTAACCAAAGCTTTAACATTCCTCGCGTCCGTTTTGCTCGCCAGGAATGGTGGTAATGACAATGACAGCCGTGGATTACGACGATCCGAGCGAAGGCACGAACGCGAGGCTCATCTACTCCATCGAGAAGAATGTCATCGAGGAGGAGACTGGCTCGCCCATTTTCGAGATCGAATCGGAGACCGGCGTGATAAAGACCGCAGTATGTTGTCTGGATCGCGAACGCACCCCGGATTACTCTATACAGGTCGTCGCGATGGACGGAGGAGGTTTAAAAGGTACGGCTCCTCGACGGTGTTATTTTAATCCTCGATTGCATTCGATCGCCTAGCCTCAGTTTTACAGCGTTTTCCTATAATATTCTACGCCGGTGGGATAACTCGTGCTATTTCGCTCTCGTATTATTCAATACCACGGCGCACGGTACATTGACGGAATTTGGGAAAAGGATACGGTTTATTTTCACGCTTTATATTGTTTGCGTCGCTCATTCTATAAGATATGACATCATCGATGTGCTCGGCGCGTCTCTCTTTTATGCCGCTCGCATTTTAGTTTAAACAGCCGTTTGCAGTTCGCGCGCAAAGTTGGTATTCCGGGATCGCCTCATCCGTGAAAAGAACACCGCGGCGAACACCCGCGGCCACCACGGGTGGCGATATCGTTTTGCATATTTTAAGTGTTTTCTCCGGGATGGTTGATATTCCGTCGAGGATGCGCGCGCGCCAGCCAGCCATCGTTGCCGAGCACGTATGCACCTCCTTTCAGGTACCGGGACGGCATCGATACGGGTCAAAGATATAAACGACATGCCGCCGCAATTCACGAAGGAGGAATGGTTCACCGAGGTGGACGAGACGGAAGGACCGGATCTGCCCGAAATGCCGATACTCACCGTTACTGTCCACGACGAGGACGAGACCAATAAATTCCAATACAAGGTATCGGTCACGATACATTATTCTCCGCCAGCCGAGATATTTAAATCGCCCGTGGAGAGCGCGTTTCTACTATTCTTCTCGCGTTCTCGAGATTAGAATGGCATGATCGTATTGGCGATTCTTTCTTTACGTGACCTCGGCGATGATTATGAGCGAAGCTCGAGAGATACATACGATGACTTGCAGGTGATCGAGAGCAGCGGTTACGGCGCCGACAAATTTACTATGGTACGGAACAACGACGGCACGGGATCATTGAAAATTGTACAGTCGCTGGATTACGAGGACCAATTGCAAAGCAATGGCTTTAGATTTAGGATACAGGTGAACGATAAGGTATGTGTGAGCGAGGAAGATTACATGAAATATGTAAAACCCTACGGAGTCTTGTATGTATAGATTTTCCTGTAACGTGAAATATATCAGGAAGATTTGAATTTTCTTGAAATTTGTTCGAATAAATATATTTCCTTGAAAAAATGTTTTAACTCAACGTTTTTCTAAAAACCGATGACTTCGCGAGATAGATTGTTTCGGTATATCTTTCAATTACAGAAATGGTGACAATAACTCCTCATAGTGATAACTCATTCGAGCAAATTTCCCTTTTTTAGGGCGAAGACAACGACAACGACAAATACCACGTAGCTTACTCCTGGGTGGTTGTGAAATTGCGAGATATTAACGACAATCAGCCGCTGTTCGAGAAAGCCAACATCGAGACCAGTGTGGCGGAAAACGCTCGCATAGGCAGCACCCTGGAAACATTCAAGGCCACCGATCCAGATCAAGGTGGAAAGAGCAAGGTCTCTTATTCCATTGACAGAAGCTCCGATCGAAAGCGGCAATTCTTCATCAACGAAAACGGCACAGTGTCGATTCAGAGAAGCCTCGATCGCGAAGAAACTCCTCGACATCAGGTAAAGATTATGAAATATCAATAACAAATAACAAAAAAACAATTGTTAGAAAAACGATTTCGTTGTTATAAAATTGAAAGAAATCTAATGAATGTTCCAGGAGAATTTTTTTTCATGAAGTTTGTTTAATTCAAATTTGTCGTTCTATTGCATGTTATTAAATAAATATATTCTAAATTGAAATATAAATTAAAATGTAATCACTGAAAAATAAACTTTTTATTATCTCAGGTTAAAATTTTGGCGATCGACGATGGCATACCACCCAAAACCGCGACGGCCACCCTGACAGTCGTTGTGCAGGACATCAATGATAATCCACCCCGATTCCTCAAGGACTATCGTCCAGTTTTGCCGGAATACGCACAAACCAAGAAGGTCGTCGAGATTCTCGCCACCGATGACGACGACCGATCGAGAAGCAACGGTCCGCCGTTTACATTCAGGATGGATCCTAATGCGAACGATGTTATCCGAGCTAGCTTCAAAGTGGAAAGCGATAACAGTGAGTTTCGTCAAAAAATATCTGTCGTACAGAAATTGCGAGATCTTTTCAATCTTTGGGAGAAATCTTTTTCAAAGGAAATAATTTAAAATCACTTTTCAACGCCTCTGAGATATCTTCAATTTTGTTGTTAACTTTTGTCAATATCTAAATATCTTAATAATTGATATTGTTCCAAACATATATGATAAAAATGACTACAATAATTCACTCAAATTGTCACTATTTTTCAGAGGGAGCCAACGGAGACGGAATGGCCGTAGTGTCGTCTTTACGATCGTTTGACAGGGAACAGCAGAAGGAGTTCTTGATCCCTATTGTCATCAAAGATTCCGGGAATCCTTCTATGTCTGGGACCAGTACATTGACCGTTATCATAGGGGACGTTAACGACAACAAAATGCAGCCTGGCTCGAAGGAAATCTTTGTATATAACTATGCAGTAAGTAACATTACGTATAAACTATATTATATAATATTCAGATTTTTCCTATATGCGAACACTGTCAGCTTGCGTTTGTTATGGTTTCCGAAGGATTTACCGCGGCGCAATAATATAATCCGCGATATGCAATAAATTTTCAGGGACAATCGCCTGATACCGAGATAGGTAGGGTATATGTATACGATCTAGACGACTGGGATCTGCCGGATAAAAAGTTCTACTGGGAAGGATTGGAGCACACTCAATTTAAGCTCGATGAAGACTCAGGGATGATCTACATGAAGTCCGGCACGCACGACGGCAAATATCACTTGCGGTTTAAGGTCTACGATCGGAAGCACACGCAGACGGACGTACCCGCGAACGTAACCGTCACCGTCAAGAGTATTCCGCACGATGCGGTACTGAATTCAGGCTCGGTTCGGATATCCGGGATAACGGACGAGGACTTCATTCGTGTCTGGAATTATCAGGTGAGATGAACAGGATTCTCTATCAATTTTATGTATTAATTTCTCTGCGCATGAAGATTCTTTTCGAATCTTTCTTAATTCATCCGTCTTCTGTGCTCTCGAGTAAAATTTACACAAGTTGCAGGTGGAAACTAACAGCACAGACAGGTAATATGAACTCTGCTTGATTTTCAGAATCAAACTCTCTCTCGAAGCAAAGTGGATCTGTTTAGGGACAAACTGTCACACTTGCTGAACATAGACAGAGACAACGTGGACGTCTTCAGTGTACAGTTAAGGAGGATGCATCCACCATTGACAGATGTCAGATTCGCCGCGCACGGCTCACTGTATTATAAACCAGTCAGGCTCAATGGCATCGTTCTCATGCATCGTGAAGAGGTAAGTGCCACTCGTGAAACTATTTTATTGGGAATAAAATTCCAAAACCTGGTATCATCTCGAAAATCGTTCCGAATACAATATCCGGAGATGCATCAATGAAACTGCACGTTCGACTGACAGATTGAGAAAGACGTGGGCATCAACATAACCATGGTCGGTATCGACGAGTGTTACTACGAGAACGAGATGTGCGAAGGCAGCTGTACGAACACTCTCGACATCAGCAGCTTGCCATACATGGTGAACGCGAATAGAACCGCTCTTGTTGGCGTGCGTGTCGATGTGATAGCCGAATGTACCTGCGGAGCGCGCAATTTCAGCAAAGGCGAGTCTTGCAGGAACAGTCCCTGCTACAATGGTGGACGCTGCGTGGAGGACCGATTTGGGTTATCGTGAGTAAAAATTAATTGGATTTCAACATCGACGTATTACAAACCGCGTTTATTTTCACAGAAGAAAACTTTTCAGAGCGTCAGAGGAGTAGATACCGTCTTATTTTTATAATAATCGAATAAATTAGAAACATTTCTCAAATTAAAAAATACTTTGGATTAAAACAAATTTTAAAGCATTTCTGTGTTTAAGAGAAAAATTTATAAGAGAAATTCTCTATGAAAAATATTAAAGTTTCTGTAGAAGAAAGAAAGAGAAAAATATAGATTTAAATAATTAAAATAATATAATAGCTTTCTAATCTATTTTATTATTTTAGATGTCAGTGTCCATCTGGCTACAACGGTCCGAGGTGTCAGCAAACTGCCAGGAGCTTCCGTGGCAACGGTTGGGCATGGTATCCCGCCTTGGAGATGTGCGACAACAGTCATTTAAGCTTCGAGTTCATCACGAGAAAATCCGACGGGCTGTTATTGTATAACGGCCCGATCGTGCCTCCCGAGTCCGACGAGATAATGGTTTCAGGTAAGACTACGACCTCTTTATGGCGGTCAGGTATCATGTATTAATTATGTATTAATAAACTTATCGCGCCGATCCGCCGACAGATTTCATCTCAGTCGAATTGGAACGCGGTATACCGAGACTGCTGATCGATTTCGGATCCGGCACCTTGGAGTTGAAAGTAAAACCAAAGAAAACTCTGGACGACGGCGAATGGCATCGACTCGACATCTTTTGGAACACAGAGGTGAGTCACTGTTTCGTAGAAATGAAATAAGCTTCGATTTTATCCAAAAAGCAAAGCATACTCTAAACGTGAGTCTTATATTTCTGTTGCAGACCGTGAAACTCATCATTGACTACTGCAAGTCTGCGGAGGTATCCGAGCTGGAAGATGGTAGCCCGCCAGAGTTCAACGACACCAGCTGTCAAGCTCAGGGCATAGTGCCGCCGTTTAATGAGTACCTGAACGTGAATGCACCACTGCAGATCGGCGGCCTTTACGTCGAGCAATTTGATCCGTCGCACTACAAGTGGAAGCACATGCCGGTGGGCAAGGGTTTCGACGGCTGCATCAAGAACCTCTTCCACAACAGCAAGCTATACGATCTGGCCCATCCCGGCCTGTCGCGAAACAGCGTCGCTGGTTGCCCCCAGACCGAGGAGATCTGCAACAACCAAGAGTCGACTTTCCGCTGTTGGGAACACGGCACCTGCGTGGGTAGTTTCACCGAGGCGAGATGCCAATGCAATCCCGGCTGGACCGGTCCTGGCTGCATGACACCGACCATCCCGACTACCTTCAAGCCTCAAAGCTACGCCAAGTACGCGTTATCCTTCGAGCCCGATAAATATTCTACCCAGGTGCAATTGAGATTCCGTACCCGGGAGATCCACGGCGAGCTGTTCAGGGTGAGCGATCAGCACAACAGGGAGTACGCCATTTTGGAGGTGAGTGTGTCTCGACAGAGCGCGTCTTCATCGATGCTCGATACAACTTCAACTAATTGTGCGATGCTTGCTCGCGTGTGATTCTAGATCAAAGACAGCAGGCTGCACTTCAGATATAACCTGAACAGTCTCAGAACAGAGGAGCGAGATATCTGGCTCTCGGCGATAGCCGTCGACGATGGACAATGGCATACGGTGAGAGTGTCCAGGTACGGATCCGCGGCGACCCTAGAGCTGGACGGCGGCGAGGGACGGAGATTCAACGAGACCTTCTCCTTCGAAGGCCACCAGTGGCTCTTGGTAGACAAGCAGGAAGGCGTCTACGCAGGCGGCAAGGCGGAGTACACCGGCGTCCGTACGTTTGAGGTTTACGCGGACTATCAGAAGGGTAAGTTATTGTACTGCGGCGGAACTTTTACAGAAAAATGTAATTTTCTACATAAATATAATATCTAATAAGATATATAAAAATTGGAATATTTTATTTGTACTTTTCCGGTGAGAAATTGGGGAAATCAAATCGCTATATTGTGTAATTTCCAATAATTTCTGTCCCGAATGTTTTAATGACGCGGATAAAAAAAATAGCAGTAAAGTTTTAATAATTTTTATAATTAAAATTTTAGGCTGTTTGGACGACATAAGATTAGAAGGAAAGCATCTTCCTCTACCGCCTGCTATGAACGGGACTCAGTGGGGTCAGGCAACGATGGCGCGAAATCTGGAGAGGAACTGTCCATCGAACAAACCGTGCGCCAATGTCATCTGTCAAGATCCCTTCGAATGTATCGATCTTTGGAACGAATATGATTGCACGTGAGTATCGTTGCTATTGTGGTGTTTTCATCGGAGCAAAGTATATCGTAATTTTCCGGATACAGTTGCGGAGAGGGAAGGATTCCGTCACCGGACAATAAAGGATGTATGGACAAGAACGAGTGCATCGATTATCCCTGCCTGAACGGCGGCAGATGCATCAATCAGGATCCACGATTCCGATACCGATGCATCTGCCCCGATGGCTTCTGGGGCGAGAACTGTGAGCTGGTCCAAGAAGGCCAAACGCTCAAACTCAGTATGGGTGCACTGGCGGCCATACTTGTCTGCCTTTTAATTATACTCGGTTAGTATACCCGCAGTTTCTATTGCTGTTAAATACTTTGCAGTATTAATAGTTGAGTATATTTGTTTTATGCTTGCTCATATTTCTACTTCTGTTGTTATTACGCTACTGTAGATATTATTCTTATTTTACGTTTGTGCACGTTTCGTTATGTTTCAGTTGGCTATTTTTGTAACAAACTGGTGACTGAATAATAACCGAAATATATAACCAGCTTTACTACGGAACACCTCACGTTTCTTTATTTTTCGCTCCTTTAATTCTGCATTGTTTTCTGCCCGCAACCGAAAATTACCCTGACATCGGCGTTTTGCCTAATCAAAGCACCACACTCAATAGCGCGGGATAGCCCTTTGTCCTTGACAAGCTTTTGTTTCGATGTCCCAACTGATAAGACTGACACCTACTTTGTACATTTCAACGTCACACTGTAGAACGTACTGCTCGCGCTGGGCCGTTGTTGCACTTTGCACGCACTTGAATTCCCATCAGAGAGAAGTATTATTTGAACATTGATAATGATCGAGCAACGACTACGACAATGCTGAATCGATGTCGATATTGCAGTTCTCGTGCTGGTGTTCGTCGTTTACAATAGAAGACGAGAGGCGCACATAAAGTATCCCGGACCGGACGACGACGTGAGGGAGAACATCATCAATTACGACGACGAGGGCGGTGGAGAGGACGACATGACCGCGTTCGACATCACGCCTTTGCAGATCCCGATCGGTGGTCCGATCCCGGAAATGGGTGGCAAGCTTCCCCCGTGCAAAGTGACCTGTACGTTGTATTTCTCGACTGGTTATGGAAAAAATCTGAGACAATTTCATGAGGCCTATGAGTGATCGAAATGTTATCTTCCAGATCCACTTGGACCGGAACCAAACGTCGGCATCTTCATCGAGGATCACAAGAAAAGAGCCGACAGCGACCCAAACGCACCTCCCTTCGACGATTTACGGAATTACGCGTATGAAGGCGGCGGAAGTACCGCGGGTTCCCTATCATCATTAGCCTCCGGTACGTTGCGAGGAAAATTTCCAGCTATTTGGGAAAAATTGAATTATCTTAAGAAGAAATCTTATAAATCTTATTTTTCAGCCACACTTGACAAGTACCAGGCTCGATAATTTTCTCTCTTTTTTCAGGTACGGACGACGAACAACATGAATATCAGTATCTAGGCGCCTGGGGTCCCAGATTCGACAAACTGGCCGACATGTACGGACCCGCGGAAGAGAGCGAAGAGGAGGACTAATCAGCGCCGAATACAACCGAGTCTCCACACCGTACCGCACCGAGTCACACGATCCATATCATCTGAATGAGTGCTCGTGCGACCTCAACCGAGACAACTGATGACGTCCGTCACATCGCGGCTCATCACCGGGGATTCATCGCGAACTGTTTGGACGATCCCGAAGGAAGGAGGATACATCTCCTCGAGAGTGACAAATCGAACAAGGAGAAACAGCTTCCTCGTAGTTGTGCGTCTAGTGAAAGTACTATGAAACACGTGATGCGTCGTCGCGTCACGCCAACACGGTCGTGTCATCCGCGGTGCGCACGTGTACACAAAAGAAAACCCACACACACACATACATACATACATAAAAGCACATCTATACAAACGGGAGAAAGACCCTTTCGAGAGTCAAAGGTGCAAAACTGAACGTTGCAATAATGCGATGATAAACGTAGAGGTGGTATATAATGAAACAAAAGAGAGAGAAGTCGCATTACCTATCTGTATAGTACGTAATACGTAAAAACGTAGTGAAATCCAAAGATAAGCGCGAGACTTTTTCTAACGGATACCACCCACCCCGATCGCATAGGTTTCGCTCATCAGTCACCGTAAACTATCTCCACGCATACACTAAAATATACATATATACGTATAGGTATATATCGCGTCGTTGTCGTCAATGTCGGCTCGTAGATCGGCGTGTCGTCCTCGCGCACAGCGCGATCGTTTATTTATTTATCGTCGCGAATTGGGCGAGCGCGTTAGATGTGTTGTAACGACGGTAATCATGGGCATTCACACACATACATACATGTACCAAACGCGACACATATGACATGAGTACACACATACACACGGACACTGACATTAACACGATGATATATCGTTCTCGGCAACAAGATTCGCCGGTGACGGCGATTCCGTCGGACGAATACTTCGTTTCTTCGTTCTTCTGCACGAGTCCTGCGGGACGTATCCTCGACGAGTATTTCGTTGTCCTGAACGCGAAGGAGTCCTGTAGTGCAGAGTACTCTCTCTCGTTCTCGACGAACGATCCTACCGTAGATAGTCTGCCATATAATAGAAGTTTATCGTTAAGGTATCGTTAGTTGCCGCGACGTCGGGAGTCATCCTCGTTATCGTCGTCGTCATCGTCATCCTCAGTGATAGCATTATTACTACTATATTGAACATTATGATATATATTATAAATATGGATTTATATAGGTGCGCACGAGACGCTAGAGGAGAGAGGGGAAAGTGATTAATCGTAATTAACTCGAGAGAAAGTCCAAGAAAAGGTTAAAAAGGAAAAAAAAATAAAGAGAGAGAAAAGAGCACGAGTTATTGCGCGCGTAATGTAATTATTATAATTATAATATAGCGAATATAAAGTCTAAATATAAATACAAATATAAATATATATATATATAAATATATATATATATATATAAATACAAATATATATTATACATATATATACAGACAGAGGACACGTACGAACATACAGACAACACGAGAGATGAGATTCGCATCGCTAAAACTATGCTCACCGTTGATATCTCGATATAGTTTTAATATTTATTTTACGTCATCGAAAGAAGAGGAGGATTCGGAGCGCGAAGAACACGACGCGAGGGTATGCACATGAAATACGCGTGCACGAGGAGTCGAGGGAAGCGAGAAAGAGAAATATGGCAGGATTCCGTGTTCTAGTCATCCCGAATAACTCGACGAAGCGTCGTTTCGACTTAATAAACTGAGATCCCCTCGAGAATTTTGAGATCTCTTCAACCTCATTCTGCACTTGAATCCCCAACGTAAAGGACGATTCCGTATGAAGTACGTAAAAGTTAAAATTCTGAAAGTTTCATTCCCTATTTGAGTTTCTTCTTTCACACATTCCCGACACATCGTGGTGAATTGAAGATTCTCTCCAAGTACGAAGATGTTAGTAAACCGCGGGAAAATTAAGTTGATTTACGTCCACGCTTATGTCTATGTCGAGTCACCTCACAAATGTGATTTCTGGACTTATAAATATTAGTACAAACCACAAATCGAGTTTATCGTATCTTTCGTTGTAACATTGAATAATTGATAGCGAATTGATCATCTAGAGGTAAAAGAAATCACGATGAGCATAGAGCATTCTGTATATCACAGTTAGAGATATCGTATAAAGGGAAAGTAAGAGGAATCTCACGATGAGAAGAAAATGATCATCGGTTGATCGACAAGCTTCGAGTCCGGAATGAAGTATATCCTCAAACGAGAAAAACGTAGTATTTTTTATCTAGAAAACGCCAAAGAAAAGTTACTAGTCGCACAGTTGATAATCGGAGCGAAACGCGAGCGATTGGCCCGCGCAAGAAAGGCTCCGATCCAACGAGCGAAACGACGCTCGCCGAGCTCCTCGATCGTCCTCGTGCACGCGCGATTCTCGTTGCGGCGATCCTCTCGTATAATTTTCCACGCACCCGAGCCCCGACTGAAACCTGTAAAATTCTCAACGGGAATATTAATAGTCAATTTACCAGTTAGGGCCGAGGAGTGGGCGTTTAAATACATCGTAAGCACTTGTACGAATATTGTAATTAACATGTGTATGAGTGTGCCGGCGTCGCGGCACACGTGTCGCGGCGCCATCAGCGTCACTGCGCATCGCTGTATAATTGTCCTACCAATGATCGTGTTTGCGTATGGTTTTTCAACGAATTTGTGATATTAAGTTGCGTATACTCGCAAACGTGCACGTATATATATATATATATATATATATATATATATATATATATATATATATATATATACACACGCACGTGCGCACACACGTACATATACACATGTCCCGCGTGCTATCGTTGTTTTTGAGGGCTGCGAGCACTGAGAGAGTGACAACGTAACTGAGCGATCCAGAAGTCCACTCGACATCAAAGTAATTTGAGAAAGACTGACAACGCGTCTTTGGTAATGTCGTCGCGATGTAATATGTCCTGGGCGCTGAGCTCTCGGGAATGAATGTAAGCGAATATTAAATGCCCAACAACAGAATCGTGTGAAGCAGAAATACTCATTTTCTATAAATATTCACATGTTTTGGCAGAGCAATAATCTTATCTCAAGCAATAAGTCCGACAGCGATCGCTAATTGGAAGTCACTTGCTTCTGAAATCGAAGAATTCAAATAAGACGAAAAAACAAATGTATCGAAGTACCTTTCTGTTGGGGTCTTTACTAAATTTAAGTCTGAGTCGCTTTCGTAGAGCAAAAGTTTTTTTTTCGGGGAACTTCGGAGAAATTCTCGAGAATTTCCCTGCTGAAATTTCGAATAAATGTCGAGACTCGTGTCACACGGAATGGTCATTTTTTCGCTCGAGGAAAACTCGCGAAAACTCTCGATGCCCGCAGATCCCTCACTCATCGAAGCCCACCGTTCATCCTAGATCCCTTAGTTTCTCCAGACATTCCCGCCATCGACTCGACTCCCCTCCTGCCCCCTCTCCCCGTCAAGTAGATTCTAAGCAGAGACAGTATTCGAATGGGATTATTGGAGGACGAAAGAAGATTATCGTTGAATAACTGTATCGAGTAGCGCGCGAGCGCGCGTCGCGTGTGTGCAGTGGCAAAAGCAGAAAAAAACAAAAGGCAGTTTGATTATGCGAGCGTTTACACGTCGATGAGACGCGACCGATCGCACGCTCGAACCGGAGATCAATGAGGAGGAAAATGGAAAAGAAAAAAGTGATTATTCGCGTTCTCCTGATTTAAATATAAACTAATGCAAAAATAATGGATGAATCGGAAGGAATGATGATATGAAAGGGAGGAACTTCCCGGCCGTATATTTCCCACAGTTTGTAACCGTTCTAAATCGATTAACTAACTGAATCGATTAATTAAAAGCAAACGCGTAGATTCGCGATGGCGATCGGTCTGCGCATCGACGAGGCTCTTAAAGTCTTCTCCGTTCGCTCGACCCGTGCACCTCGTCGTCTCACGTGAAAACTTTGTAGACAAGTGTGAAAATACGCGCTTTCAATGCGTCAGCCGCGAAACACGCACGACAAGACAAGAAGCGGAATCTGAAGTTTTAGAAAGGTGGCTGAAGGAACGTAGGGAAAAGATCGAAACCGAGTGCGACAACCGACACGAAAATCTGAAAGATGTTTCGAAGACATTTGGAAGAATGCCTCTCGGATTATCTTTCGGATGCCTTAGAACACCTTTTGGATGTTTTATCGGCTTCTTTGCGTGCCGAGTCGTCTCGGTGCAATTTCGACGAGTTCAGAGGTCGGTTCCGCGACAGACGCGTGAAAATAATCTATCTAAAGTGATCTTCGTTACGTTATTCGTCAAACTTGATTATTCGGACGTAAGCTTACGCTTCTCCCGCATCCGTAGCGTCGAGATTCGCGAACTCAACGAAATGCAAAACGCTTTCAATTCCTGTACAAGCTTCAAGAAGCCCGCGAACAGAACAGAAAAGTTGCTCAAGAAACGCTCACGCTCACGAGGATTTCATTTACGACCGACTGACTTAACTCGTACTTACTTTTAACCAACGCCGTTGAAGATACGGAAGATATAGAACGCGAGTTACAAAAATAAAAGTCATCGAGGAATATTATAGAGAATTCAATTAGGAGAACTAAAAAGAAGAAAAAAGAACAATCATTCGAGGGAGAGCAGACAAAAGCAACGACACGTTCCTTGAGTCCATTCCAGCAATCAGCGCGATTAATTAACGTAATTAATATTAAAGAATTCGACTAAAAATCATTTATAATCGTTCGATTAGCGTCTCTATACTTGCGTCATTCGCGTGGACGATCCCACAAATTGGTTTCGCGCATTCCAAATGAAGACGAATTAGTTCGAATTAGTCCCGCTCGTATATAAAATCGGGAAATTACCGTCTAAGTGTGCGTACTTATACGAAATTTTTTGAGAAAAAAGAAAAGACAAAGATCTCACGTTTTACCGAGAAACCGATGCTGTTTTCTCGAACATTTTCAGTCGCCGATGCAATAAGCAAAAGAAAGAAAAAAAAATCATATGCTCATCCGACATATCCTCGACCTCTTCTAAGCACTGCCTAATCGTGCACAAAGATATACTTTGTAAACGGGGTACTACAGGGCCGAGCGCGAGCGAACTCGTAACATTAACCAAATTCCGTTTAGTTCAAAACAGGAAGGACAAAACATAACGAAGGACAAGCTGAGAGAAATAGAGTAAAAATGGATAAAATCAGAAAACGGCACTAGTCCGCCTTATCACATCTTGTACAAGACAATGCAGAACACCTCTCGTTCGATTTTATCAGTAGTGGCCTCCGCGCAGTAGCATGCCAAGCCTAGCTTCAGATAATTATTTTTCTCAAACAAAAATATCATTTGTATCTGAAACTAATTTGTACTAACGTATTAAATGAGCTGTTAAGTTGAAAATATCTGATCATTTGAAATTAAACGAGTAATGCTTCTTTTAATTAGTCTTCTTTATCTTAATTAGTATTTTTTAAGATTCTATATTTTAAAATTAAAATGCGAAAAGTAATGAATGTAATCTAAATCCGAGGCAAATTATATTTTACAATATGGAAGTTGATGGTATAATTCGTGATATAAAACAGCACATCGAGGCTCTATCAACGGCAGATTGGCACTTTAACGATTCGGAATAATCTAATTTTGAAAGGAGGTGTTCTGTCAATGTCGTGGATCGGTGTTCTTTTGGAGAGAGAGAAAGAGTGATAGGAAGAGAAAAAAAGAGAGGTACAGGGAAACAATCGTAGAGTGGAAAAAAGGAAGAGAAAAGGCTTTATCTGTCGGTCGACGAAAAGAGAGAAAAATCACTGTAAGATATACATATTATTACATAATGTAACGCTGCCACTGAACACATCCCATTAGTACAATTACCGTATATATAATAATAATAATAATAATATTAATAATAATCTGCAGTATACTGGGACACACCGTATTATTAATTGAATTGATATTTATTAACGATTATAATTATTACATTATTACCACTATATTATCTATATATACCATTTGTACTTTACACTTCAGTTCGAACGAAATAAATGCCTTCTTTTTCATAAAAATATGACCGAGATCACAATGTTGGAAGGCGGATGTTTCACTCGAGATTGAGATTCTATCCCCCTCCCCACCCTCCTTCGTCGTTATTAATGTCAAATTCAATATTGAGAAATCTTATAGGTGAAGTCTAGTAGCTGTCCTCGAGAAGTTTTTGAATTTTCTAACCAATGTCAATGTTATCACAATACTATCTGTAATTGTTTGTGCGATTCTTACTACGGCTTTTTCCGCGATGGCTGCAACGACATTTGTTTTCCTTGTTGGTTTTGGGAAATTCGCTGCGTATCCGTCGCCACAATCTCTCGAGTGAGCGCGACAGGAAGTACTCCACTCCGTCATCCCTAAATTTCAGATTATTGATTAATGTTACGAAAATCGTGTATTTCATGAAAATAAATGTGTACCCGAAAATAGCACATCGACAATGTTATGTAAGAATGCCAATATATACTGGACTTGGAACTATTTTCGAAATGTAAAATCCATATTCTGTTATCTGCAATTGCATAATGTCCCGATAACGTCACGACTACAATATTAACGATAACAGCGAACATCATAGCGTCGAAAGAAAGCCAGCAGGTCTTCAGGAAGCCAAACTCACGTTAGCTCTTTGAAATTTACAGCTCTCGTTACATGAAGAGTCGTCAAAACGAACGTCGCGGCTATTACGTTGGTGAGAAGCGTCGTAGACGATTTTATCGCGCTCAATGTCTCGGCGGTGTTTTCCCATCCCAGTCGACTAAGCATCTGCTCGAATTAAATTTTGATAAGTATAGACTTCGGTGCGGCTCAGTTGTGTATGCTTTACGAAATATCGATTAAAATGTTTCTGCTTGCAAGCGCATAAATTTTCGTGACAGATTATGGTATCAATATTGACACAGATCGGCAGAAAAGTTACATTACGTAGCAAAGATTTTTCGGTAGCGTGATCCTAACGAGTACGTCTATCGGTGTCCATATACAGTCGATTACGAATTCCATGAAAAATGCTGTCACGAGGAACTGCAATAAAAATGAAGAACACAGGCAATGATATGAGAATGCAAGAAAAATGGCTAATGTAAAGAAATGCTCGCAGAGCGCACTAACCTCGTACAAGAACATAAAACTGGGTTTAGGTTTTCGAAAGGACTCGGGGAATATCGTGCCATTGACGACAATAACATAGACACCCGTTGCAACCAAAAATGAAGCAATTAACGAACTCGACAACAGCGGCTCGCCATATTCGTCCTCTGTCAAATCCATGAAACACGTTTGAAAAATCGGCATTCCTAAGCTATTGAGTATCAATGCCCATATTGTGTACAATAATCGCGCCATTTTCGTACAATTTCATCAACTTCGTTAAATATCGGTACCAGTTAGCCATTCAGACTTGTTTATACAGACTTGATTTGCCGCAACTGTTATAGCTAGTTTTTAGATGAGACATGATGCATTGAATCGATATTTCTGAAAGTTTGACATGAAGTCAGCTGTGTATGATAATTCGACAGACTCTGCTGTTTTTATTTAAACTTACTTTTATTTAAATTTATAATTGAAATTATAGTCATTTTTTGGTAGAGAATATTGTAGCAAAAATTACAATTTTAGTAATCCAGGAATAAACTGGCATTATTATGAAAATTATAATAAAACAATAAAAATAATCATAAACATGATCATTTTTACTACATTTATAGTAATTTTTAATATATTTATAATCACTTTTACTATGTCTTGTTATAATTTTTACCATAATGCCAGCTATTCCCAGAGTACTAAAATTATATTGTAATTTTTACTACAACATTCTCTCCGGGTAGTTGAAAAATAATTAGGTTACAATAATTTCGTTCGCTGATAATGTCACTCCGAACTCTGTGCAATATATTATTATTCAAAATTCGCAGTATATCACCATTACCACAATTAATACCGACTTTTTACATTTATTTCTTTGAAATAGGAAAATACTTTACTAAAAAGCATTAGTTTTACTAAAAAGCATTAAAGGGTATCTACATTAGGCGAACTATCACGTAGGTAACTACAAACACAATAATTTACACGAAGAAGCATTTATTAAATATACGAGGACGTAAACGAGATAAATATGTAACAGATGTATAGTCCAATGTAACATTGTATATTACGAGAAGCTGTAACGTTCACGATTTGCCACGAATGGGATCATCCGACAAAGTTTGTAAAAGTACCACTGAGTGACTTCCGGGTTGCTAAAAGTGATACTCTTGCCTTTACGCTTACGACCACTTGCAATACCCACAAGCTGCGAAGGACTTTAGGATAAAAGATAGGACAGAATATTAATAAGATTGAAAAGTCAATGTCTTTCGTTTTGAATTAATTGCAATATTAAAATCCCTATAACGATGTTTATTTCTTTTTTTCTTCGTTAAGAATAGCGTTATGCACTCGTAAAGTTGCATCGTGATTTCATTACATGTCAGACATTTCTGCGGATAAGATTTAGAGTTGTCAGGATTCACTACTTGCTCCACATGTCCAAGAATGTTTCCACAGATTCGGTCGCGTCCAACATCCACACGAATGACAACAACGACACGCAATACGCCATTTGCGTGGCCGCGTACTCCCTGGCCATGTAGTCCGCGAATATAGTTAACCAGGAGTAACTGTCCAGACCGATGGTGGAGTTCAACCAAGACAACTAGAATAAAACATTGTGCTTTGGTACAAGCTCTTAGCATTTAATATCAAGGAGAGTCTCGGTACATCTGAGTTTAAAAGAACAAACTATCGGGGATTCAGTTTTAACAAGAAATCTAATAAATTAAAAATTGATTTGAAGAAACGAAGCGATTAACGAAGAATGGTCAGCTCTTACTTGCCCTTCCAACATCAACGACTATATATCAGAGAATTTTTTCATACTTAGTGATTTATACTAAAGCAAGTTACACTAAAGTTCCCGCAGGAGGAAATTATAAAACGATAATATTATATCTTTCTACTCAACGCACCCATTTACTGGATTCTTGAGTTAGACAAAAGATCGCGTGCATCATTGGTATCCATATTATATTGACCGCCAAATTTGTACTCAATGCAGCTACTAACATCTACATGACAAAACGAAAATGTCCAGTGAATAATTGTGCTCTCGTCTACGTATAGAAATCGATCGCTCCGTGTATCAACATTCCTCTCGTTTCTCATTTGAATCCGCTCGAGAGGAGTGAACGAGTTGAGAGAGGATTTCAAATGAGAGTCGCTCACTTCGTAAATATACAGTAGCTGGATCGGTGGTTCTTTGAGAGTTATGGGCCACAATCTATATTCCGCTAAGAGGCATAGAACCGAAAACACATAAAGCACCGACGAGTACGACGGATCAAAGGGCAGATTATTCTCCTCGAAGCACAGGCCGATTATGCAGATTTGTCGAAGATGCGTATACAATCCTGTTGCCATCATGGCTACCCAGTGAGGATCCACGAAATTCGCGTAATATTTTAACATTTCCATTCTGTACCAAAACGCACCACCTTCTTCGAGATTAAAGAACTTCGATCGTTCGCGATTCGCGCGAGTCTTGTGTCGTGATAATCTCACTACGATTTCGGGTTAAAATGTGGATCGGCTGAACCTAAAAAGAACACTTCTAAGAGGAATATTTACTCGCGAAAACTAAATTACTTATTTAAATTTGTACGTAATGCAATTTTCTAATGAGCAAAGTTAATCTTCTATTTTAGGCTTTTTCCGTTTCCCATCTTTGTCCTGCGTTTATTTTCTGGTTCTCTAGTTAATTAAATGTGATGAACGGAAAAAACTTCCTAAGGATAAGACATTTCGAAGCTAATAGCGGATAGGTAATACCAAATCGGATAGCGTATAAATCGTGATGGAGAAGGACACCGTTTATCACCGTTCTTTAGAAGCGACGTAACGAACCTTGCATCGTGATGAAAACGGTATCATGAAAGAGCGACGCTTTTATGATATATTGCGCGTGCAGTTCTTCAGCGAATTCACGAAGCTCTTTGTGTCTTAATGTCTTATTTTTGACGTTAGCGACAGACACGCGAACGCTTGAACGCTTTCTTATTCCAGTCGGATTTTTCATCGGCAGTGAATGTCGATCAGCAGCGGCGTCTCGAACGTGGCCGTAACTTGTTCACCAACTGTTAATTTACCATAATATCACTATTGATCTCAACGCATGGACATCGAGTGCTTAGGTTACAAAACGATCGTGTCGACTCGCCACGAACGTCACGTTCCTCTCGCGTCTGTTTCACCAAGCATTTGATTTTTCCGCGGGAAAAATCGTCGTCATCGTTAACACGAGACGCAAAGTCGTTCTCCTCTCTTCCCCGAGACGAGAAATTAATCCAATTTCTCTTGAGACTTGCTCAAGCAAAAGGAAGAAGGAGCAGGGGATGAAGTTACGTTTAATTGCGTTAGCTCGCTCGTCCAAGCGGTCTCCTATAAGAGGGATGATCGGAGGGTCCAATCGCCGAACAATTAGACGATCGCAGAATGGCGATTTGTACGATCGCGAGAGCACAATCTGATTTTCGCGAGTCTTCCTTTTGAATCAAGAAACATGTATTTCCCTCGTGCTCCGGACATCGCGTTGCGAGTTAATGGAATTCTCTTGTCCACACTCTTTCTTCTCAGACTTCCCATCGATTTACTTTCGTCCGATTTATTTTGCCCTTCTCGCGCTTGATAACGCGAGCCACTAATCTCCTTCGGACAAATGGTACACAACCAGCAAATAGCCGTAAATACTGACCGATATCTTTCCATTGCGAAAATCGTCCAACTGTTGATCTCTTTTTTTTGTACTTCGCCTTATTTCTGCTAACTTTTCGTAACTCTCTGACAATCGAGCGCCGAAAATGTAGCGGACAGATAAGGCACACATAAGACAAGTCATTCTTCCTGACGCGCCGAGGAAACTCTCAACGCTTTGATAAAGGAAAGTGCGGTCGTTTCTCTTCGCGATGGCTAACAGCCGGATTTATACTTTCTGAAACAATGAGGCTCGTATCTCGCTTTCATGCATAATGCATTACATTTAGCGATAGCTTTCCTGTAGCCGCTGCCGAGGGTGCGAATGGCGCCGTATAAGAAGGTCGATTTTCTATAAACTGATATATACTGACTTGGAGTATTGATTTCCTCCGGAAGGTAAGCGCGTGAAAAATTGCGATCGTGATTTTTGAATTCTCAATTCTCTAAGTACACTTCATAAATTGACGTTGATATTACGCTACATTACGCCGCTTCTCACGATCGCGAAGAGTCTCCTCGAGTCTTTCACGCAATACGATTTAGATACACTCTCATTATGCGCGATGACTCAAGCGGCACGTCAGAATATCGCGCGTTAATTAATTCAGGAAACCGCGGTACACGTCAACACACAGACTGCTTCACGAAAATACGTCATGTGCGTGCACGCTCGTACGCTCACGTGCTGGCGGCGACGTCAGATATCTCTTCAATCCGCTTCCTCTGCCCGCTCCTTATGCAGTTGACAGTTTCGTTGCGTAAACGCGGAATACGGTTAAAGGCTAAAGAGGTTAGCGCTGTAGAGAGATAGGGACAGGACAGCGTTTCTCATCAAAGAGCGAGCTTTTGATCTCCTTCTTCCGGGCAACTTCATGAAAATATCATGCGAATCGCTGCTTTGCGACCAACCGCTCGTTAATTAAAACCAGGTCAATTCCACCTGAGATGTTACAGCAACGCGGATTGAGTAAAAACCGGAATATTCCCCGGGACTTTCCGTCCACCTTTCAAAGAGGCGGACGGTCTTCAGCTTCTCTCTATCAGCCACAGGTTACCGTGCCTTCTCCTTGATTAACGACGAGCGACTCTCTACGTCAAGGATACGATCTGCACGCGATTAGGCTCGCGCACGAAAGTGCCCCAATATGACGCACGACACATTCCCGGGAAGTCTCGGCGATTACTCCAGCCCGATCCGATGGTAGCCATGACGACGGCACAGTGCATCGAGGAAAAGTACATTCATTTCCGTTTGTCGTCGTCTTCTTAAGGAGCACGGCAATAAAGCAGAGGGTGAGCGCGGAAGAAAGAAAAAAAGAAAAAAGAAAAAAAAAGGAAAAGGGAGGGAAACGCGAAAGAGCCGCGACACGTGGAAGGCAAAGAGGAAAATCCGACCAAGTGAGAGCCTTCGGCCCACCACTCGGCACCACTTCATCCCTCTTTTCCGCTCTCGAGGAGGGAGGGAAATAGCTTTCCGGCGACACACGTACACACACCGAGTTGCTCTTACCTCTTCGCATTCTTATGCCGAGTCGTACCGGGATTATTATCGACTCCCTCTTGGCCGACATGCTAGGCGAATTAACATTTCTCGGGGATTTACCGTCCTCCGAGTCTTTCGCATCACGACGTCACGTCTAATAAAATCACCGATTGTTAGGGAGTGAATAGGAGCGATTTTCGTGCTCCGCTATCTACTGATAGCGCGCACGCGACGAACCGTCCCAAAGTGTAACAACCGTAAGTTAGTTAATTATGGTAAAACGGTACTTTTTCACAGTTGTTTTGATTACGAAAATTTGGTCCCTTTTGTTGTAACAGTTGTCCACAATTTCAACAAGAAGAGCATGTTAAATAATCTTGTCGATATTTTTATCATAAAATCCAAGCTGACAATAGTATTGACAAGTGTTCTTTAATAATACAAAATATTTTCTGAGGAGTAACAGAGTGGAGGAAACCAAACTTGCTAGAAAGAATATAGAAAGTTTCAAGTGTTTGTCACAACGTTACTATATAGTTGTTATCATACAATTATCATGTTGATAGGCGGCAATAAAATACTTTGTAGAGAAGTACCAGCTGAATATTGATATATTAATAATCGAAAAAGTATAAATGCGCTATGGTGGACTCGAGTCGAGAGAAGTTTGGTAATAAAGCCGACTTTCATAGAGTAACCTTCATCGACCAACCTGGCTATTGTATTACTTTATATTCGCCCTAGCAATAGAGTGAAAGGACAGGAACGTAGCCATTACACGATAATAAAGTCTTTTCAGTCCATAGAAAACACTTGTTACGGAAATTCCCTCAGATAAATTAGGATATCCCTAATAATCCCATGAAATAGTGCGCAGCGAATAGACTTGCTGACAAAATCTCGCGCGCGTTCCTCGAAAAGATCATGATTAAGATTCGTATTGCGATTGGAAGTCCGAGCTACACTACTGAAACGACGCGAAGCAACGATCGTTTCTGTCGATCCCCGCGCGACAGATTCCTTTTTCTAGGTCGCGATTGCCTGACGTCTTGTCAGCGTTGACAGCGAGCACTGAAGGCTTCGCCCGATCTCGCGACAGGGCGCACACGAAATCAAAGCTAGAACCGGGCTTATCCGGCGTAATAAGATTTGCCGCCTGAATGTTCGCTTGATTTCGCGCTTGTAATCGAGTTTCGGACAATCTCGCTTTAAACGACGAGCGCCCTAATTTTACCCTTAAGATACCATTATGCCTCTTCGGCTTCACGAGATCATCTTCTTTATGCAGCCTACAATTTCATTATTCCGCCAAGACGCTAATTAAAAACTATGGAGTACGTTTCAGCAGTACTGCGTTCGAAACGCGATCGTTTGATACAATGGGGGAAGCGACAATGTGGCAGACGTGACATTGCCGAGCGATTTCATCGATTTGACACACATCTCTTTCTAATGTCCTTGTAAGCATGACATTCTTCTTACGTGAAGGTCTACTTTTAGTGCGAAAGGTTTGTCGTGTTTATCAAATAAAATAGAAAACGAAATTATCCAATTTCGAAGAATTCGTGATTTTTACAAGTAAAATATACAACTGACTCGGTATATTTCTAGTCATTTAACAAGGACTTATTTTTTTTTGGATACTTAAACCTCTTGCGAGAATTTAATAGAAAAATGATAAATCTTTTACATCAACTTAATAATACTCATCCCAACATTCGAAGTGAAGTGTGAAAGAGCCAAGTGTTCACTCAGTTAGAAAAAATACCTTCAACAATTCAATAGCGAACCGATTCTTCCCACTACGAGCTGCATTACATGAAACAAAACAAAAAAAATAAATATAACCGAAAGTCTTGCGAGCAAAACTGAGTTGCATTGCTTCACGTCACATTTAGCGCGAAAATCGACGCGTCCATTATCTACACGACTGATCGAGTGGCCGGTCGGTATCGATCGCGTATCCGCTATCGTTCCTCGACCTCGTTGCTCCGCAGGAGCAGAACAAGGTAAGCGAATCTCGATGTGCGACATGATCGCGATTGGTCGAACGGCACGGCCAGCTGAATGACGAAGAGAGGGGAGTTACATAAAGCGAGGTGGGTACGGATGGAGCTGCAATCCGCCGCGGAATACAGGACGTGCTCTCGACCACCTCGCGACACTCATCCGCTGACACCAGCAGACACGTGGATATCGTCGCTGTCAAGGGGAGAGACCACCCGGTGAAGCGTCAAATCGGCGAGGATCGCGTGAGACTACAAAGGTGAGTTCTTGATCTTTCTCACCTTTATCGTGACGAGTGTGTTACTGACCTATCGACCTATATAACAACTTACCAATCGCGATAGTTGTATTGGTCCTGTATTAATTTTTATTTTATACATTCGAGTGTTATTTTAACCGCGCGACGATAAAATGTATTTTGTTCGACTTGAGTTTCAAGCGAATATCACGCGCACACGCGATAGTATCATCAACAGAATTGCGATAAAAATGGATATATAATAGTATGTTGTTGCGTCAGAATCTACTGGGAGATAATTTTCAACAGCTAGAAGTTGCAGTGGCAAGATGATACGAACCATTTACTCGGTAAAAATTTGGAAATTCGCCACGACCGACAATTGCGCTCGAACAAACATTTGAGTACTTTTCTAATCGTAATAAATTGCGTTAAATGATCGCAAGAAATTGTAATCAAATGAATAGTAATCACGTCCTTGTGACATTGTAAATTTGCAAAATGTAAATTTGTAAATATCTCTTAACACACTGTCTGGATGTATTGTACTTAATACTTACGGGATATCCATATATTCTGTGACGTGTGCGATAAGGAACTCTTGACAGCGATCTCGAGACGGCAGTGGTCTTATAACTGGTGTCACGGTTCTGTGAACTTCAATAGACGCTCGTTAGTCTCTAAACGCGCACAGTGGCCAAAGCTAATTATCGAGCTTTCGCTTCGTTGGCCCTCTCCAATAGAGCTGGACCACAGCACGTACTGACTGAATTAATGCGAGTATAGACGCAAGAGAACTAAAATCGCTAAACGAATAACTCTTTGTCCGCGGTAATAGAAAATGCATTTGGTGCAACGAAACAAAAAAACATGATTGCGAGAACACGATTAACTATCGGGGACACATATGGTAAGCTTTTTGTTCTTGACAACTCTCGAAAAATATTTTTTATTAATTTGTGAGTCATTAATACTCGTAATAGATACAGGACGATCATAGAATCTATCTCTCTTCAATCATAGCGCGACCGTTGACGTATATCAATTCACCATAACGGTAAACATAAATTATCCTTATATAAAGCAAGTAAAAACAAACGCTACAATACTTCACAAACAGAAGCTTCTTATTAATTTGTTCAATTTATCTATCGCGTTCTTAAAAATCGACGATTAAACTTTGTAGAGAAAAAGAGAGAGGGAGATTAAGCAATATTTCGAGCTGGTGTAACACTCGTGCGATTTTAGGCATTTATATAATTTCTGCATTAAAAATAGAAATTTATATTTGGATTATTATACGAATAAGAGGTACGTTTTCAGGGTGTTTGCTATATTTGATGTTCGTGTAAATCTGGCGCCGATATTTTAAGCTGTTTTAATTCCCTTCGCTTTCACGCTTCTAAATATATCGGTATATTCGTGAGAAACTTCTTATCTCATATTTAAAGTGAGTGAAAGATTATCTCTCGCTCGCTAAATGTTATATATATTTAAGAATAAAATCAACAAAGTAGGATTCTATTTCACAATTCGATTTACGAAAATTCATGTATTAGTCAGCTATTTTCGCCTATATAATTTATTCGTAAAATAAGATTAAATATTTTTCAAAGCAGTATCTCGCTCTGAAAAAGATGCACCGTAGTATTCCACAAGATATTCAGCTGCTGTTGCATTCCTCGATAAATCAACAATATCTTTCCTTTATCTCTTTTTTCATTACACGCGTTTAGTTTGATCCGATGCACTTACCATGCTAATTCTAAATTCTTTAGTCGAGTCTTTTTAGTTGCAATTCATCGAAAGTTGAATCATTCAATATTTTCTTGTTTCAATTTAACCAGATATTAAAATTTGTGTCGATTTCAGTTCATAATTTAATATGCGAAAGCGAGAAAAATATCGCGTCTCTGTATTTCTTCAGTCGCAACAACTGTTTTTTGCCTGTTACTTTATTAAAAAAAGATTAATTCCCTGAAAAAAGAGAAAATAGTTGTTTACATCAACCTTGACATTCTATACTTGAATTCTTGCGAAACTTTAGGAAACAGCGACTCGAATATTTTAAGTTAGACGTTACAAAATGTATAGCAATACCGATTCTTTATCGGAATAAAAGTGATTACATTTTATACAGCACGATATCCGAGTACCTTTAAGTAATTGCATTATTCATGGAATTGTTATCGCAGTACGCAAGAGAGATAAAAATTTAACGAGCGCAGTACGATTTCTCAATTCAATCGACCGAAACGTTCCTAGGTTAATCTCCCAATACATCGGCCTCTAATTAAAGATACATTATAATCTATTATAACTCATTAGAAAATTGTAGCTCATTAGAAAATTGTAGCTTTGGTTGGTTGATGATGGAAAACTGATAAGATTACATATTTAAATAAATTTCTTTTCTCGGGCGATAGTGCTAATACGGACGCATTAGCATTTGCCGTTAGAGTCGTTTGTGAAGCGATTATCTGACTCGATTAATAATCCGAGGAGTATTAGCATTAATCCGAATATAATTTGAATGACTGACGACAGTATTATAACAGAGTGAACATTTTACACGTTGAGTTTTTATCTTGTATATTTTATATAGCCGTTTCAATCGTCCACGCGCATAAATTACATTGTTGTACAGATCGTGAAACGATCTTGCGAGATGTATTTTGCTTGATACAAATAACAACTCCGCTCCGCACAAATAAATGCAAATCGATGTCTTCGCGATAACATTCCCGGCCAGAAATAGCTCAATGACCCGTAATCTATAATTTATTCATACAAGGAAAGCCTCCACGCGCTGCTCTTCGGAGAACCATACGTTGTCGTTGCAGCAAGAGGGGATTCCCGAAGAGTTGCGGGAATTTCCTCCACACATCGCAGAATCATTCGTGTCTCCTCTTTTCCCATGTGCCGTGACGTTTCGGAAGCGCGGTGAACTACTTCCATAAAGCTACTCGATTTCTTTGTCTTTCTCTTCCCCAAATGTGAAAAAACCAGCTTTGCAGCTGGTGTTTTACTTCGCTATTCTAATTTTATAATATATAATAGAAACTAAATTTAATTAACCAAGGAATTGAAAAATTGAAACTTAAGAAACAGAGTCGAAAACAAAAGAACAAGGATATACACGATTATATACATATATTTGAACTTAAACCTAAATCTTCCCATTTTATTCAAATTCGTTTTTTTTTTGGTCGTGTTGATATTACAAATTCGAAGATCCTGATAAACAATTCTTCAGAATCTTCCCTTCTTGACACATGAAATTTTCGAAAGAATTCGCCGCGAAATTCATGGCTTTCTCTCGTGAGCCTCCTCCGGTACCTTTTCTAATTCCTTAAAAATACGCGTTGCAAAATTACATCATTGCTCGGTGACCGGAAAATCGTAACAAACGAAATATTACGTTTCGATGGAGAGGTAAATCGCGAGCCGAACGCGCAACGGTTCTCTGCGAAAATGAGTCATGGTCATTACTTGATTACGGCGAGTTCACTCTTACTTCTCTACGAAGGTAACTACGCCAGCCGCCAATCGTTCTTTTTCGATCTCGTCGTCCTTCTCCCTCCACGCCGATCTCGTCGACATTCTATCTGGCAACGACACGCATACACATCTCGTTGCGAACTTGTCTACGATTCGCGTCACTGGAGGCTCCGTGTGACGTTCGACGTCTAGATTCGTCCAATGTATCACGCTGTAAAGGCCAATACGCTGTTTAACATTTTTTTTACAAGCAGGCTGGAAAGCGCGACGATCTGACGCAAACGGTGACATTACAAGACTCTAATCGCGCGCGCAAGAAGCCGCCAATATTATTTTCCGCTTTCGCAACAATTACCGATCACCTCGCGCGTCGTGTGAAACGGAGTGTGAATCCGTCGTCGCGCGCGATACATGAATAATGAACGAGATAATTTTAATCATTGTTCGCGAGGGTCGCGAGACTCGCTCGTGCGAAATAATAAGACGCTAATGCGACGTGTGCAACCTCCAGATCGCGTCGTCCTAAACGCGATATTTGCACCTCAAGCAATTCTCCTAGTTAGCGCGGCCGACGCGAGTGCCACTTTCACTTTTTATCTATAAACCGTGTTTATTAACACGCATCCTTGAATCCGGTAAGATAAACACGGCGGTGGTTCGCATGCTTTCATTAAATGATTTTTATCTCGTTGTCGGTGTTGATCGTGATGCAACATGCGGAAATGCCAGCTTTATTTATATGCGAAGATCAAACGGACTGATGAAACTTCATTATCAAACATTAAATTAAAAATTCCACGGCACACGCGTGCATAATATGCATTAGATTATCGATATGCGAAGGACCACTAGAACCACACCTACTGCATTTACATCAATGCACAACAACGCGATATCGAGCAGATATTCCTCGATACATTCATATCATTCTCGTCTATTACAGAAAGACGGAAGCATGGATCCCGATAATTTCAAGGACTTCGCCAAGGAGATGGCAGAGTACATTACAAACTATATGGAAAATATTAGGGACAGGTGAGCGACAACTGCACATAACTGAATAATAGTCCATAATCGAAAGAACGTTTGATGGCGTATTAATTGAGTAACTTTTACGCGCCATTTAGTCCTTTCTAATTAAACATTATACGCATACCAATTTCGTGAATTTTCAGACGAGTACTGCCTACAGTAGAACCGGGATACATGAAGCCCCTTTTACCTTCCGAGGCGCCGCAGAGCCCCGAAGAATGGAAGGATATCATGACTGACATCGAGAGGGTGATAATGCCAGGTGTAAGTAATTCGAAATAGCTGCAGCTTCCAGCTGATCGTGAAAGATCGGATGATCTCAAACTGTTCCATACAGCACGCAAACGTTGAATCAACATTTCAGAAACGTTGCAACATTGCAATCAACATTTTGAAATGTAGATTCAACATTGAAAAGACATTGTAGAAATGTCTAATGTCCATTGAATTGCAATGTCTTGTAGACGTTGCAATTTAATATTGTTAAATATTGATTTAACATTGGCCACGTTCAGCGTCAGAAAGCTTTTTTACAATTGTTGATAGTTCTCTATCCTAAGATTAGATTAGATTTTTTATAATTGTTGGTAGTTTTCTATCCTAAGATAAGATTAGATTTATTGAAACACTAGTATGCAAAGATTAAGAATACTGATCGATTTTCTTCGTTATTCAACGTATAAAAATATTAAAGTAATGTTGTTGAACAGTTAATTTAGTAGTTTAAAATAATAGTTAATAAGATATTACATATTTTGTACTGAAAAATATCAGGATATATTGTAAAATATTTCGGAAAATATTCACATTTTGATTATTTCCTTTTAATACACAGAATAACTAAAGAAATCGATTTATGTTGAAGGAGCCATATAATTATTCATACAAAATTTAACCTAAACTTGATATGATTTTAGTAAAGTCAAAGTGAATAGCATCATCAGACTACAAATTGTTTGAAACGTTTTTCAATGAAGTCCTTGATTTTTGAGAAATTTCAATGCGTCATTTAAAGGGATATATAAAATTTCTTTTCAGTATCTCTACCTGAATTTCAAAATATAATAATTTGTTTAATGTTGTAGCAACATAAAGAATCAATGTAGAAGAAATAATATAGATTCAACGTTGGAAAGATATTTCTATTTTAACATTCAACATTACAATATCTCAGCAACGTTGTTTCAACTTTCTGTGCTGCATGGATGTGTTGATCCTCTGCGCTCGGGAATAGAACTGTACTCGATCATGAAATTTCATACCAGCAGTCAAACTACAGTCGACACGAAAAGTCGATATTTCCGATATTTCATATTAATGCGTTATGATAAAATCTACTATTTTCTTCATTTCTCAAAATCACAAATTTTCTTTATTTTATTATCGAATGCTGGAATAAAATGTTAAATTTATTGCGAAGTGTAAAGAGTGAATGAGCGACCCGTCACGGAATGAAATAACAGTATTGGAGTAGACTCTCTTGTTACATATTCTTCTATTTTCTATATATAGAGAAGTCTTAGAAACACAGAAAGATACACTCTCGCTCTACTGATTATACAATTTTACTAATGTATAAGTAGACGATAGATAAATTAAGATAAAATTGTTCGTAGGTCACTCACTGGCACAGCCCGAAATTCCACGCGTATTTTCCCACTGCGCAATCATATCCTGCGATTGTAGCTGACATGTTAAGCGGAGCTATCGCGTGCATCGGATTCTCGTGGGTAAGCTGAAAGCTAAAAGGAAACTTTGGGGAACTTTGACATGAAACAATCCGACGGTGATTATCGTCGTATCTTTCGTCTAACTAATCTTGCGACGTTGATGTTTGTTAATCGCAGATAGCGAGTCCGGCCTGTACTGAATTGGAGGTGATAATGTTAGACTGGTTAGGGAAAATGATAGATTTGCCGAAGGAATTTCTTGCTTGCAGCGGCGGCAAAGGTGGCGGTGTCATTCAGGTAAAATCACGTTGCAAGGATAGCGTTATCAGTGCTTAAGTTTTAACAGTTCAAACATTTATGGCCATTTTTACCATCTCCGGTTACCTTAACTACTGATTAAATATGCACGGTAATTGGTTAATCTTGTTCAACGACAAGTGCGATTGGTCAGTTCCAACGGAATAACTAGCCGGTTAAGGTAACCGGAGATGGTGAAAATGACCATTAGCCTTAAATAATAGATCTGACAAAATATCTGAGAATATAACAAGCAAGTTTTTAAGAATATTTAAAGCATATTTTTGTGCATTACAGGGAACCGCCAGTGAAGCTACTCTAGTGGCGTTACTAGGAGCAAAATCCAAGAAACTGAAACAAGTTAAGGAGCAGCATCCCGAATGGACGGATCCCGAAATCATCGACAAACTCATCGCGTACTGCTCCAGTAAGTCAATCTTGTAATATAACAATCACATGTGTCATCATTTGTTAAAGAGAAATTGTGATCAAAATTCGAAAAAAGTCGAAATTTTTCAGTCCTCGAATTTTTTCCGATTGAAAAGGAACATATACGTCATACAAAATATTCTACCATATTATATTATATTCTACCATATTATATTTTACCATATTATACCATAATTGCTTCTCGATCCACTATTTTTATCCGGCACATTACGACTCGTCGAAGTGTGACTTACGGTTTGGCGCTAATAGACACTTGAACTGTGACATTACTTCGACGGGTGCCAAATGAGTTACGAAAGGAGGTTCGATCGAAAACAAGAATGAACCGTCTCAAATTCTGATATGACGATCTCGAGGATATATTCGAGGACACTTCAACGAGTGGTTCTCAACGCATCACGTTGCTCTCGTAATGTCAAATTCACTTATTTCTAAGAGAGTTAATTTCCGTCGTGCTACTTCAAACGGAGAAGACGTACATAATTCGGTCTAACGTAATTTCGAAAAGTATTCAGTCGCTTTCAGTCAGCGACCAGACGTAATCAGGGTAATCGGTTCAAAAGCATGTGAACAGGGAGAGAAATGTGAACAAGGAGGGAATGGAGAGGGGATGAGTGCTTATGGAGTGATGGGGTGGCACGAGGTTGCGGCACTTCATCAGGCAGCACTTTGTCGTCATGGCAACTCGTAATAACTGCTCCAGTTATATTTCGGACCGAACTTACTCTATTGCTCTCTCAAACTCCCACAATAATTTCACGGTGCTTCGTCGAGACGACAAAAATGTCCAATCGACTCCTCATCGACACAACGGATGACATAATGGTCATATTCTTTTTTTCTTTTCGACTAGGAAATATCGAGAGAACGACGCTATATCCTCTATCAGCTTTATTCTCAATCAGCTGCCGTTGTGTTAAAACAATGGAGTGTACTTTTCCTTTTTTCAGCGCTACCGCGATTACGAGGGACGAATGACGCGCGAGAACCGTTCTCGATTATTGGGAATGACGTCGACAATTTTGTCGGCATCGCACAATGCATAATAAATAAATATTTTTTCTTATAATATTCTACGAGAAATTTTTCATGTAAATCTTGAAGAAAGAGAGAAAAAAGTATTCTAAAGAAAATATAGATTTATCAGAACTGTTCATTACCTGTTCACAATTAACTTGGTGAAGTTACCGTTACATAACTTTTAGAAAATTATCTTCTTCTGTGATTACTAGCGACCATTTTTTCATATATGGCAAATATGTTTTGATTGCAAACCCAAATTATAATTTTGAACAACCGTGCTTTTTTCCAGGTCAAGCGCACAGCTCGGTGGAACGCGCCGGACTTTTTGGCGGGGTAAAATTCCGATTGCTGCCGGTTGACGAAAAATACAAGCTTCGCGGTGACGTATTGGCGAAAGCGATCCAAGAGGATAAGGAGAAAGGACTTATACCGTTTTACGTAAGACCAGCTTAACCGACATTTCTCTCTCGATTAGATTGTCGTGCGATTGTCATATGTCATCACGTTTCCTATCGACTTATAGGTAGTGGCCACTTTGGGTACTACAGTTTCCTGCGCCTTCGATCGCCTTGACGAAATGGGCGTTGTAGCGAATCGCGAGGACGTTTGGCTGCACGTCGACGCCGCATACGCAGGTAAATTAATCTCGTCTCGCAGCACGGTGAATAACGATAATCTTACTGATTGCGTTATAAGCATTCGTGAAACAGAGAAAGAGAAAGAAAGAAACGAACAAAATCGTCTGGTCCGTAGGATCCGCGTTCATTTGCCCGGAATACCGATACCTGATGAAAGGTATCGAGCTGGCGGATTCCTTTAATTTCAATCCGCATAAATGGATGCTGGTTAACTTCGACTGCTCCGCTATGTGGCTCAAGGACCCGACATACGTCATAAACTCTTTCAACGTCGATCCTCTTTACTTGAAACACGATATGCAAGGTTCAGCGCCGGATTACAGGGTAACGTCTACTAAAAATAGTTTATACTTCGATGCACTCGATGTAAAAGCACTGATGTCGTTTAATTTCGATGCGACCGTCACGCGGGAGGAATTTCCGAGATTTTGACCGATCTCTTTATTTGTTCACTCGCAGCATTGGCAGATTCCACTCGGCCGTAGATTCCGCTCTCTGAAGCTGTGGTTCGTATTGAGGCTGTACGGAGTGGAGAATCTTCAGAAGCACATCAGAAAGCACGTCGCTCAGGCGCACGAGTTCGAGGCGTTAGTTCTCACCGACCCTCGCTTCGAGATCGTCGCCGAAGTCCTCATGGGACTGGTTTGCTTCCGATTAAAGGTAGATCGATCTCCCTTTCAAGTAGCCGCATAGAAGCCTTTTAACTTCGCGTTACAACGACTTATAACGAAACATCCCGTTTTTCTCGTTCAACTAATCACGTGAAAGGATATTTGTGTCCATTCTTCTAAGACAACTCACACAAAAGGAAATAACGGAAACAATCTGTCAATGGCTCTTTTTTCGCAGGGTTCTAATGACCTCAACGAGGTTCTCTTGAAAAGGATCAATGGCGCCGGAAACATCCATCTCGTCCCGTCCAAGATAAACGACATGTTTTTCTTGCGTTTCGCCATATGTTCTCGATACAGCGAAAGCAAGGACATACAGTATTCCTGGAAGGAGATCAAGCTGAGGGCCAACGAGGTCCTCGAGGAGCAATCGGTCTCAAAGTGATGGCGCGCTCAGATAGCTCGCGGTTGCAGGTCGCTAGCGCCTGCCACCTGCAATCAGTCCTAGTTTCAATCGTAGTATTCAATCTTAGCTTGCCCTTACACCCGGCGACTCTCGAGGACCAAGTAGGCTAAAGAAGCGAGTGATGTTAAGAGGATAGTCGAGCAACGAAAGACAAGAACTCCCGCAATAATTCCTAAATTACAGGCGATTAAGCGATGACTCCAGTCAAATTTTGATTGTTAAACCGATTGAATTGCCGTTGGAGTTGTTAAAATAGAAAATGAAGCATAGTTCCTTATTGAGGCGAGAAATCAAAATTCTTTGGTCCTTGGTTCCGTGGTTTTTTATAAATTTTTCTTATATAAATTCTTCTTCTTATCAATTGTGTGCTCTTTTACAAATTGCTCTAGTTTGTTAACCTAGATAGAATTATCAAGCTTTTGGATCTTATTAGACCACAAGTTATATAACTAACATAAAGCAGCTGATGATAATTCCAGCGGTTGATCATAGATTGGTTTAATCGAAGTTTGACAGAAGTACCTTCTTAAATGTTGCAAAAGTACGTAAGCTTTTCACAAGACAGTTTCAAGCGCACTTTATGTTGACATAAAGTAATTCATCGCGGCTAAAAGCTCAAAGACGTTACATGAATTTATTACGTAGTACTTCGTTTTATTCCGGCACAACGATTAAATCTATAACTTCACTGCAGTATTACAACGGATGACGAATTAACGGACGGAGGCAAATTGTGATTTGATGAAGTACGTGTGTTAAGACGCGCGAGAAGATCGTTAATATCAGAAATCGGTCTTGCGACTTGCCGGGATTCACGTTAACAGCGTAATAGGTGTAATGCAGTATTTCATGTCGCCTTGTGCCACTTTTGCTGCCGTATCGTCGATGTTGCTGTGCGAACCTCTTAGACAATATCTTTGTAAGTACACTATACAAGCGCGGTGAAAGTCACGCGCGCGCTCTTTATTGCTGCAACAGCGAGCATCGTTGTACTTGTAATCACAAATAATTTTATACACGCGAAGAGACGGTGCTTCTTTTAAATCGCGTGTCTCCTATAAGTATGACTTTTATTTATTTTTATGCAAGTGTAGAAGATTTTAATTTTCCTCCTTCTTCTCTCTCTCTCTTTCTTTTGGTAAATTTTACCGTTATCTCTGTATATTGAGTAATATATGCAAATAATATATGCGAGTAATTAATCATTCGATCAGTGTCGCGGCTGAAAATAATCTGATAATTTCGCGCGATCTGAATTACCCACCGAAATATTAATATATTTTGGAACGTTCGCGAATAATTAGTGATATTTTTCGTTCTACTATTCAATTTTTAGTTCATTACTATTACTATTTTCGTGTACGTTAAATGTTTATATATGTGTGTAGAATATGTTTGTATATATATTATGTACAATTATAAATATGTTAGAGTTGTAAAATCGATATAATATAAAATGGTATTTTTATTTTTTCTTATTTTTTTATCGCGTTCCATTTTTTTCTAGTTTGAGCTTCCATAAATTAGTTTGAAGAATCTCTATACTGGTAGTGAATGTTCCCGAGGTCACTGTGTCGTTAGAGTAAGGACAGAAGTGCAATGTAGCACTAATAACAGCTCAAAGCGCGTAATATACTATCATTATGACAATGGCTTTCTAACTATAAAGTGATTCGGGTAATTAATTTAATGTGTATGTATATGTGTAAGCTAATACTTGCTGTAACGTTGTGCTGCAACAGGGACAATAATAGTAATAGAGTTATTCGGGAAAGCGTAGCCCCTGTCGAAAGGATAGGCTAGCAGGATCCAAATATTCAGTCTCGAAAATGAAAGGATATAGAAACGCGAACTTGAAGATAATCGTTAAAATTACATATCGTCACACTATTGTCAGAGAATTCCTCTCGGATAGGAATACATAGTGTCGAAATGTAGAAACGCGATAGTCAACTGTGTATGCGTAGATATCTGAATCATTGTTGCTGGTTGTTGAGTATTATTGAGTTGTAACGCGCGCGAGCGCGCGCGAAATTCTAACGCTTAAATCGAGATGGATAGACCAATTGACTATTTTTCGCGTGCAATTTTGTGCAAACGTTTAGCTCGTATTATATTTTGTAAAAGTTTACATATATATTCGTACAGAAAGCTCAAATACGCTCATATATAAAAGCTCGCATCGTGCTGGATGCAAAGTCGTTAAAGATATCGATTTAAAGCAATGACTTAAATCATTACGGGACCAACAAATGATTTGCTGCAATAAAAGAATTATTGTATCCTCGTTATATATATATTCTCATTTAACATCTGTTATAAAGCACTAAGAAGCGTATCGTTGAACATGAAATTGATGTGGCGCTCGAGAGAATTTCATTGTCCAAATGTTAATATTGATCGAATTAGATCTATAAATGTGTTATCTCGTCTCTTTCTTCTTTCTCTTTCATCCTTCTCACTGATAAAATAATTTTGTGGAAAATTGAAAAAAAATTAATTTTTAAATATTACAAGATATATTTTCAGTTCGTTTTAAATAGAAATATTGTTGGAAATAAAATTATTAAAACGCGCAAAATTCTGTCAAAAATTATGTGCCTAAAGTGGTCCATCAGTCACAATTGAAGGATACTAATATGACGACCGTCAGTGACTAAATTTACGAAAGCATAATTGGGCCTGAAATATTACTACTATTTAAGTCCCTCTCTCCCCCATCATAGTTGAGGAAGAATCTTACTAAAAAATATGAATTCTAAAATTATCAATTGACCTGCGTTTTGATGCGATTTCCACCTTCTCCATCAAAGAATGCTACGTTACATTTCTCCTGAGACCTGAAGCAGAAACCTTTTTTATCGATACAGGTCGGTAACACTTCCAAAAGTCTCTAAATTATCAAGGCTAGAGAACATCGTCAGATGCAGTCGAAAATTATTAAACCTCGGTACTAGATAGAAGACAGATATACATAAGTCTTCTGTTAAATTATTTTGAAGAATAAAGAAAAAAATAAAATGCTAAAAAAAGACTGAGTAATAAAAAAAAGAAAAATTCTAATCAAGCATCAAAATGTATAAATACGCGTCGAGAATAAATGGTTAAATTTTCTATTGAAGTAATCAAAGTACGCAAAGTTTCCAGACTTCCAAAACAACTATGTACGTCAAGAGGAATTCAGCTGGAACCGTTTGTTGTAAGTCGATAGAAATGGGTATTGAGCAAAGTAGGTTAAAAATATAACATGAGACTAACGCGTTGTCTCGACGTGATTGTTCACCAGCAAATCCCTGAGCACGATAATTAATTCCATTCTTTGGCACACGCGACAACTTTCAATTTATGCGAACAAGGCAGACCTTTTTCTAGTCGTGTAGGTACCGAGGAAACGAATGTTTGAGCAACTGGTGAGCGACAGACACCGGTAGTTAATAAGCAGAAAACGTATAAACGAGAAATAAGCAGCAGGATTAACGGTCGTGACGCGATATTCTTTCTTTTTGAACGACGGGTGGTAGATGCGAGGAGAGATGCGCTCGCGTTTGCGCTAAACCGACTGCACGGGTTGTAAGGGAGTGACAGGCGAGGCTAGAGCTAGCCGACGGCGAATCATATAGCTTCGAGATATTTCACTCTGTTAATATGACGCGTAGAAAATAAACCGCCCCTGCGAGTCTATTTCATGTTTCATAATGTATTCATGGAATTTTTCGAACAAGTTCATTACCCGCTAAAGCTGTTTGAACTTACCAGGGTGCTTCGACTGCTCCTCATAATTGATTGAGACTGATATCCCTCGAGTATATCGCGTTCACTGTTCGTGATTCCTTCTTTGCGCGTTAGTGCAAGCGTATAAATAATATAGAAAGGCGATATATTCATACGGCAAAAAATTGCTCAAAGGTCGCGTCAAGCGAACGACCGTCTGTATTTGATTCTTTCCCCTGTTATTTCCCGTACTGTTCGTATGCAAGAATGGTGTAAATTGCAAATTGCAGGATCTGACGATTGAAGATTGCGGATCGCGAAATGAAGCATAGGAGTTTCGAAAGAAGAGCCAACGGATTGACTTGGGTCGACTTGGGATTGAGGGTCGTGGGTTAAAGGGCCGGAGTTTTGCACGTGTGCCGCATCATCGCACTTGCGTGGACAACGAGATGCACACATATGATGCGTTGCTCCGATTCTAAATTTAATCCAAGGTATCGCGCGGTAATTTGGGAGGGACCCTTCTTCCCGCACGTATCGCTCAGGTGCGCTTCGAAACGAGAAAAATGCAGCGCCGCCTTCTTGGCCGACATCTAATACCTGACAGCCCTTATTATCCTCACCATGACGTGGCTATTAACTACTTGCCGCGGGATAACTAAGTGTCGGAGATCCGAAATTCTTCGCCCGTGTGTAACATACTTTACCCTCACGCATTCACACATTGTCGTTGAATTGTAATCCTGAAATTATCAGCTCCCACAAGCGAGATTTCTCCGACAAAGTGCTTTTAAGCGGGCCGGACAACATCTTCGAAAGGGTCAATAAAAACTGTGCGTGCAATTAGCGCCGGTGCCGAACGGGAGCGAGGCCGCGCGGGTTCTTCTTATCAAGAGCGCCACGAGACTGCGCTCTTGCGGCAGATTAATACATTAAATTACGTTAAAATTACAGCCGACCGTAAATCACGACGATACCACGCGGCATTTGGGAATCTTTACGTGACGCGTCGCTTCTTGTCGCTCGAAAGAGCCGTTGGGAAGGAGCTCAGGGCTCTGAGAGGCCCTTCGGCCGACACCCGATACGTCTGGCCTGCCGTTATTATTCCCAACGTGAGGCGGCTATTAGCCGCCTACCGGACAATCGACGGCGTTGCCAGCAACTGGAACACACCGCGAGGCGCATCACCAATCGAAACGAGAACTGCCGTTCTTCCTGCCTTCGGCGCTCGTCAAGCCGGTCAGCTGTGGATCGTGACGGCCGACAGGCAGCAGAGCAAGGAAAACGAACGAACGAACATTTAACATATACGGACGAGAGAAGCGGCGTTAACCCTTTCGTTTTCTCGCTGTAAACCGCAGGTTACATTCATTTCGAGATTTATTTCGATTACGAAGATACTTACTGCTGTTGGTCTTCGTGGTCTTCGCGCAAAAATCCTCGAGAGGCCTATCTATTATGAGAAAGTTGCGCTAATGAGAGCCTAATTGCGTTATCCGCACGTGAGAAGAGTTATAAGATGATTTCGTATTAATCCGTTCTCCCCCGCTGTGAATTAGAGTTCATATCTACACGGGAATTTATTTCTATTGCGAGAGAGAAAGGGAGAAAGAGAGAGAGGGAGAAAGAACAGTGATTTAGATTCTTGTTTGTAAGGTCTTTGCTTCCATCACCCGTAATTTTTCGATACTGCTATCATTTTTTCACTCCAACTCGCTCATCTGAGTACATGTATATTTGGGCTACGTGTGAGACACGATAAGAGTAGAAAAAAGCGCATATGGCGGTAACATTGACCGCATTCAGCAGAAAAAGCTGCTTAGCAGGCGTTTTGCACAGCGCGAGACTGCTGTACGCTTTGCCACTGTCGTAAGATTTCCTGCTGAACGACACTAGCGATTTGCGCTCCTTTCCACACGTTTACCAAACGGCCGCCATTTTCCCCACTATACTTTTGATGCGCTGGACCACTTAGCAAACATGTTGTCGGAGTGTAAACCGCTGAGTGTCGTTCAGCGTAAATCAGCAGCACAACGCAAAGCGCTGTCCAAGTTGCTTGTTCTCTACTGAACGCAGCTGATCTGTTGGACGCGGTGCGTTGGACGAGATTGCGTTTAATTATCAATTCGAAGGTATTGCCGGCCACTAATTACGAACTAATGGTCGATCCGCGAGGGACGCGATGACGCCGGGGTGTCGCCAGAAACGCGAAAATGAACAAACATCGCGATGAGGACCGACCGGCCGGCTCGTGAGAATGGCGCGAGCAAGCGCGCGGGAAAAATCGCGACATAAAGCGCGTTCGTCGTACTCGGGCCGTTGTAAATTCCAATTGTTTAATGTACGCCGCGCGCGCGTGTATTCGCGATTGCCGTCGCGGAACCAGATCCGGAAAAGATATAACAGGTTTATCTGGCATGACTCGTAGGACGGGACTTCAAATGAGGATAATAAGGCGCGCACGAATCTACGTACGTACGTGTATCTACGT